AACGAGTATAAACAAATGCAAACGGTAATGTACGAAAGAGTAGTTTATGATGAAACCAAGGAAACAGAATTTTAAACTTGTGAAATCTAAGTAATAGGACTGATAAAATCAAGGTTTTTTTAAAATTTAATTACTTAAAACTATTAATTAAATCCTACAATACGTTACTAATTTCTTGGTTTGTATTTGCTCTCCAAAATACACAGATTATTTACGCAAAATTAAAGTTAAGTGTAAAACAATCATATGATGTAAAATAAAGATGTATTGGGGGGGGGGGATGTGAGGCTCCACACATTCTTAACCTTCGCAGTAGATAAGGAATTTTTACCCCAGAGAAAAGGAGCCGATGGTACGCATTGGAAATGAGGCTAACGAGCCCTAGAGGCATCTTGGAGGTGATGGGGAAGAAAGATCCCTGAACTTGCCGGGTTTGCACCCTGCTTGTTCACTAAAAAAAGGGCTTAGTTACACTTTCTTGTGCCGTGACTTGTAGCATTTCTAATACAAACTGTATAATTACAATGGGCAGAAAGATAACTTTTTTAAAATATTGAAATGAAGAATAGCGATGGAAAATAAGATGCTTAAATATGTATGTACGTATGGTCCAAGGATGTTTGTGCCATACTTACAATCCAAGGCGCAGACAAATTGTATATTATTCACGAATGATGATTAGAAGTTCACGTTAGCTTCAGTGCTGGGAGGAAGATGTAAACTATTTCACTGCGCCTGCGCCAACATATCACATAAAACAGTAAGTAATAATGACGCATTGTCCTACAGGATTATTTTCGGCTCACAACAGAAGGCGAGAAGGCGCGTGTTCAATTTATGTAACAAAGTTGTTCGACCACTTTTCGTACTTTTTTCTGTCTCAAAATGTGAACATTCCTCGAACTAAATTATCAAACTCACAAATTCTCACTGAATTGAGAAAGAAAGGACGATTTGCTTATAAACCTATTCAGTGTTGTTTATCGTGGGTGTGAAACTTGGTCTCTCATATCAAATGGAAAAAGACACGTATAAACGGAAGGGTGTTTGAAAACGATGTAAAACATCTAATTTACACCTAATAGGAGATAACATAAAGACGACGAGGACGCATATAAAGAAGGTTTATAACTTGTACTCTTTATCAAATATTGTTACACTTTCTAAATTGAATGCTTGAGATAAAAGGTGCAATGCAGAACGCACAAGGAATATCACAAATTCATAGAAATTTACCGTTAATAAACAAGACAGATGCGATACCTAGCAGCAGATATGAGGAAAGAACATTGATGTTTGTAAAATCTTCTCGGGCAATCAGCCGCGTTAGCTGGTTACCGTAGTAAACCGACGTTTCGGGAACAAACTGTCCCCATCTTCAGGGTTCTGATGTGACTGGATCCTCGGAAGTCGCCTGTGTAACTGCCTGCTCGGGACCAGTGCACATGTCCGGACCTAGGGCCAAGGAGCTAGGGAGCGGAGTCAAGCGCTCGGTTTGTTCCCGAAACGTCGGTTTACTACGGTAACCAGCTAACGCGGCTGATTGTCCGAGAAGATTTTATTGATGGAGTAAGTTCTTTCGAAACGCTGGTATCTACCTACCGATCCACACAGCATTACAACCCAGAAGACAAGCATCCGTCCCGGTGTCCTTAATTTCTTTGGAACGGGCCCTATTCGACTGCTAATTTGATAAGTTTTAACCAATCGTTCTTCACGAATGTCCTATTCATTGTTACAATTTTTGTAATTTACGTAAGTGCCAAACTTTACTAGTAGTAGTAGCCGAAACTTCAAAACCGCCAACAGCAATATAATCCTCGCATCTTCTTCCAAGTGGTCGTTGCTCAAAAGGTTATCTGGTACACACTGTAGGGGCCCATGCATTCCATTTCTCTTCCATCCTAGCCAAGTGCCCGGCCCACCGTGGCCTCCTAGATACCACCATCGTAACAATACAGGATGACCTGCATAAATCAGGACGAAGTTCCCCGTTACGTAGTATCTGTCACAAATTTCTAACTTATCTACTTTGTCCATGCAAGGTCAAAATATTTGCCTCTTTATTCTAATTCCAAATCTCAGCTCTCATTTCCATAACGACGTTTTCATTCCATTTTTACAATTAAAATAATTCAAACTGCAAGTGGATAGACTTGATAACTGATCAAGGTCCATAATAAAAATTACAAAGGGCTTAGGTGCATCCGAAAACGCTAGAGAAGACCAATTTACACTTTCGCTGACCGCCATTTGCTTGGCCTTGGTTAGTTTGTATCATTCTTCCATCAAAAGGCAAGAGACATACGCATTGGCGACTCCATCAAACATTGCCCTACCATAAAGAGACCGACAGCAACTCAGCTGTTTAAGAAATTATAATCAATCAGAAGTTTTGTTACAATTTTCACAACTAATATTTTAGATCTCGAAAATAACAACGAGATATGTACCATACGAAGCGGGAAAAATAATAAATTCGATTCAAAAACCACAAGAAACAGCCTGAAATATACGAATTGAGCGACCAATAGTACACGAGACAATAATATTGGAACAGATTTAAAATAACAGGTTTTCCGGTGCAGATGGTAGGCACCGGTATCAGTACAATGGAGTTGAGCGATGGTTTCTGTAATGATCTACTCTATGAACAAGCTGTCCTGCAGCGGTTAGACTATTCGTAGATTATACATTATGCAGCATATTCAGCAGTAAGGAGATGAGAACACACTCGGTGTATGTGAGAGACCAAGTTCCACACCCACAAAAAACTGGCAACATTCTGGATTTGAGGTTTTCACTGCGGTGGGTACGAAGATGGCTGTCTTCTGAGTTGATGTGCCGGTAGAAGTTCAACGTTTCAGAGGTCATTGCTGCCTGATGATGGAGGCAGCAAGGGCCTCTGAAGCGACGGCAAACGCCTATCTGTCTACACGGAGCTAGAACCCAGAAGACAGACTGCAATTCTTCTCATCCGAAATGTGTGTAAAATTAATGGTTTCCGACAGCCAAATAGCCCAATAAAAAATTTATTTACAAAACCCAAGGTATCGTTTCGAGAAAGAGAATGCACCCAATCACCTTCCACACAAAATTAATTGCGGACTTACGTACCGGGCCTGAGTTTCATTTGGAGGGGCGTTTTAAAAAATGAGACAGAAATACGCCTCTTAAAATCACGAATGAAATACTTTCTTACAGACTGCCAAGACATTTTATTGCCAAATAATATAATAAAAAGATATTTCCACTTTTATTGCATTCCTTCGTGTGTCGGGAATGGTTAACCTGTAACCCTTCCTAAAGCCTCTGTGCTGAGCAGGTTTTGATGTGACAATAGCAATTTAGACCTTTATGCTAGGTTTATCTAGGAAGTATGTAACTGGTTACGATGACCTGACAATCCCCATGATGACGGATGTATCAAACATCTCTGAAACGTCGGTAAACTTTAACATTCTTGTGGCAGATCTTTACAAATTTTAAAATGACACAGGTTTCTATGATATATCTTATATACAGCCTATAGATAGGCAGAGTTTAAATATTCCTAACAAAATCTCAATGCGACATTTGAAACCGAAGCATGACAACTACGCAAGTCATGTTTATAACGCGATGATGAATTAAATATAGAATAACTCGTCACTTCAAATGCCCATGTGGTATCTTGGACGTTTAAATGGTGAAAGTGATGAATTAGTTTTAATCTCTGTGAATGCTTTAGGTCTAATGGCGAGGTACTCTAACAGAGCTGTTACAGCTCCCTGCACTCCATCCTCACGTGATGCTCAACCGATTCAAAGAACCAATTACGTCATAGGACGGAAGAAGAACAGGCAACTTAAGTCCCATTGGCTACTGAAGAATAAACTTATATTTAATTGTAATTTCGTAATGTACACGGGGCAAATAAGAAAATGGCGCACTACGTCCTCCGAAATAGAAAGCTCCCAAGCTCAACAAACGTAAATATAACATGAGAAAATATATTAAAATTTAGAACCTCAGAAATATCGCGATTAAAAATATATAAATATATTTTCTTCACAGTTATATGGTGGTTTGTGATATTCTACATCAGATCAAAGTATAAAAAGGGTTAACGAAGTTTTAATGCGGCAAATCTCATGCAAATAATATAAAGGCCCATTATATGGTTATACTGTCGAGCGAGTAACGTAAAAAAAACGTGGTATAACATTCACAGATGCAACAACCCCAATAAACATTAACTGACCCTCAAGCATTGAAAGATAAAAGCTCAAAGTTTGTTGTCATAACATTTATCTTATGCGATTTTAGGCGTAAGCATATCTGAACTATTTAAGTTCCTTGTATCCTAAAAGAAGCGGGACTGAGGAAAAACACTAGGAAAAACGGGATTAATGTGTCAATAGACCTGTGGTATTAGTGCGGAATTGGTAAGGATATAAGACAATAATATATTAGACCTTTAACGAATGATCTTCCTGAAGATGGACTCACACCGTTGAGTTTTCAGGGTACCAAGTAACTTACCTGGTAGGTTGGCCTTATCTTCCTCTTATATTTAAGTGGTAATCCTTTATCCGATCTACTGACTTCACATTTGCATATTTATTTCTGATAAACGTCATTCTGACACAATAAAAATTGCATTACAAAAGTTTAAATAATTCAGAAAACATGATAGCCTAATTACTTTGTTTAAATGGCAATTATAACTGGCCTATGTAGTAATCTTTGGTTTCACAAACGCTCATTTGCGAGGCAAGGATCGTATTTTAAACGTCAGTAAATTATCAGTCCCAAAAGTGTTACTAAAGAATACATATCCATCATGAGGAAATTAAAGGCGGGCATCTGCAATACCGACTGATAAGCAATCGCGTAACGTTTCATGTTTCGTCATAAGTACACAACAGTAGGCAAGAAACCTACAAATCTAATGCGCAATTGGCGCAAATGAGCAACGCCAAAGCGCATAATTACAAGCAATTAATACAGTGTCTTACCTTGTTTGTCACGATGATCCCTGGGCACATGGGGAAAAGCCAGGGACTGCTCGAAACATGGAGAATGACATTGGCAGGGAAATCACTGGCAAACGGTCGCAAATCCTGATTTTTTTTATAAAAATTGCGAATGCTGAGTTGCAAGTTGAAGACCGTCTGGCGTCGTGGAAGACACTGCATGGTAACATAACACTAAAGTACGTCATAGGCTGACAGAGAGATACAGGAGGAGGGGAGCAGTCCGCGACCTTCAGAAAAACAAATTCATCGCGAAAATCCCATTTCCGAGCAAAAACCACAGCTCAATATATCAAATACCCATAATTAATCCTGCTTTAAATAATAAGTGATTATAAATATTTACTATTTCGACTTATAAATTAATGAAAAAATTAATTTAAACTGCAAAAGTCGGGAATGTCGGAGGGGAGAGGGGTGGGTGTATGGGATGCTGTATGATCAACATGGCTGGCCTTGCAGCAGTACCAGCGCTCCTGGTGGGCTCCGCCCGAAACATATTCAGCAAACGACGAAGCACTCCTGAGGAAGGTGGGAGTGAGGGGGAAGGGGGCCGGCGATACAAAATGGCCGAATGCAGACTTCATGGCCAAGCGGCCTCGAAGTCCACGGATTCGGCCAATTTTTACGCGGACACATTCGGTATATTTTATATGTTAATGAAACAATTTCGTGAAACATGGTACCGCGAAACTGATAGATATCTAAAAGATTTGGGCCGAACTCGTTTTGACACCGACAGTTTTGTAAGTAGAAAGTTACGAAGATGCGGCGAAATTGTTATAAAATGTGAAGATTTTAAATAGCGTTGTACCTAAAGACATACAAAAATTACGAATGTTAAGAAATAATATAGGCCTTTCACGATTTGCAATAACAACCGCTGTTGATTTATAAGCTAACATGGTCATTTATCCCGTACGTAAGATTGGGTACGCTTGTTAGAATAACTTAGGTTTAGGCTGAATCTAAGAGAGAGAGAAAGGACAGTGGAAATTGCAATCATGAGGAGCTTCATAAATCCTACCCACACTTCATTCAATAACTGGGCATAAGGACGATGAAATCAAGAAGGATATGGACTTTAAGTAGCACGCACGGATATAAGAGACGGCAGTAATTTAAAAAAAAAGGAGTAACTCAATATTGTATTTGAAACCACAAACATAAAAACAATAAAACAAGACCTATTGGTTTCTAAAATTTGTTCAAAATTAAAAACGCAGACCTTGTTTCACTATTTAATTACGCCCTATAACTAAATCGTACACCCAAATCAAGAGATGAAGCAGGTTTTGTTCTAACAGTGGTGTGTGAAGATTAACAATAATGAGAAATGTTGTCTTCTGGGTTCTGATACCGTGTAGTCTTGTGTCATTACCAAAGTTTTGGGGGGGGGGGGATATTTCGTCTTCATCTTCAGGGTAGCTTCTACCTTGAAGACGACCAGGCAACACATTTTCATTGCCATGAAGACCTCAAATATCATAAGATTGCTAATGAATTTTTCGCAGTTCTTGTAGACTTCAGCCCACGTGCAATTAATCGGGGCCAATCACTATCATAATTTTGCCAGAATTATGCCAAATTATGAAAATTTGAAGGGAGAGTCATGCTAATTAGCCGCTGACCAAGAATCACCGAGTCTAATATTAAGGATGTCATCTTTATTAGCCTACAGTCTACTAAAATTACGCTCAGAACCTCAATAATATACGTATTAGTACAGACCTATCGAGAACTGAGTACCTCAGGGCGCAGATGATGCTGATGTCAGTATTCCGAGTCGCAACGTCGTAGGTAGATCTAAGGTTTCAGAGGAACACATTGCCTCCATCTCCAATACCAACGATAACTTATACTATGCTATTTCGTAGTCGTGTGCAAGTATTAATCGAGATTTCCTTATTAGAATTACTATTATATCCTGACGAAGAGAACTAATTTAATGTTTATTACTTATTTTCCTGTTCTGCTGTATCAAATGGCCATTTCTTATTCCTTGTCCGAAATCTGAACTGCTTCTGAGTAGCCTTCAATCACCAATTGCTTTGCGATCATCATCAAACAATAAATTACTACGAATAATTTATTTTAAAATTCACGCCGGCATCTAGAAACCCTTGCGATTCAGCAACGGCCAGCGACTAATGAATGACGATCCCTGGTAAGTCGCTCAGAGCATTTAAACAGAAGCACAACTTAACTAAAAAGCCTGCACAACAAAGAGGGCCTTGACCTTCTCAAGCTGTACCGGGAAAAAAAGTAACAGGCCAAACCTAACCTACAACAAATCATGTTCTAAAAATTTCTCGGGCAATCAGCTGTATTAATGTTGAGTCAGATACATCTGACTCAACATTAATACAGCTGATCGCCCAAGAAAAACTGTCATAATATTCATGGCCCATGAAAGGATTAAGCTTTATATTATTATTTAGTCGATAATTATAGAACAACGTTAATTATCCACGATATCATATCCTTACAAAACAAACAGGCCATATAGGCTCATAAATATTTCCTTACAAAGTCCTGTGAAACATCTAGTGGGCTAAATGAACTCGACACTAGTTAAATTAACAGTCGGTCCCGCCAACACGTCTTACACTGCTTCAGTGTAAATTCGTATTTAACAAGCAGTTCGTGTGCTTAACCCTTCGAAGCACGAAGATCGTCTAAATATTATTTATGAATTCAGTCCGTACCGCGAAGAAAACACTACACCTCACCATTACGAAAATCAGCTGGTTAACCCTTTGAAGCCGAAGCTCGTCTTCATAATATTTACGAATCCAGACCGTACCGCGAAGAAAACACTACACCTCACCATTACGAAAATCAGCTGGTTAACCCTTTGAAGCCGAAGCTCGTCTTCATAATATTTACGAATTCAGACCGTACCGCGAAGAAAACACTTCACTTAACCATTAGAAGTCGAATCAGGCGCTAACACATAAGATTTAACAAAAGAACATCCCGGTCGAAGCCTTAATAATCACACCATAAAGGCGTATGGAGAAGATGAGGTAAAGGGACAGAACAGTGTCAACCTCGGCAGTAGTTCGAGCTGAGTGGTAAGCCAGGATTGATGGGTCCCAGATCCGATGAAGATAAAAGTCCTTGCCCTTGTCAGGAATTCAACCTCTGCTGTCCAGTTATTAGCCTGTAACTTTCCTTACGGAGACATTCCGACTCTTCAACTGATTCGAGAAAACCTCGCATAATGTTCGTTTTCAAATACTTTCCATGCTACAAACGACATACGAGGTGTATTTCTTAAAACAGTCCTTTTCCTTAAGATAACTGTCTTCTGTGTTGTAACGTTGTGTAGACTGGTAGAAGGTTTATCCCTCATCTCTCTAATGACCGAGGCAGCATGTAACTGTGAAACGTTGGTAAACTTCTACCAGACGCTGCATTCCACAAGACAACCATATTTTTTTTTTCCGCCGAAGTGAGAAGCTCAAAACATACGCCCTTTTATTCCCTAAATTGATTTCCCGCCACTATCAGCGAAGTTTCTCCTGATAAACTCCGAAATGTAACTTCAACATCATCAGACAACTATAGATAGGTTCGGTGTACTTGGGAACCTAATTTAGGCCTACGCGTTACAAATTCAATGCCACACGAAGCAAATGTAATTCTCAATCTTCTGTAGTGTTTCTATCAGTCTTTAACGGCCTTCAAAATTAATCTAAACAATAATCAAGCACTTCAAATTTTACTGACAAATTTTAAAATCGCGTGGTGATAATGCTATGAATATTAAACAACAAACTTACACCTCATTTCAAATTTGATCGTCTATTTGAAATCGTGAATTATGCGGTCGAACTTACAGACAAAACTTTAAATGGTGTCGGAGAAAACAAACAGCTAAGGACATATATGAAAAAGCTATGCTAGTACGACGTCTGAATACAGAAACCTTAACGAAGTTTCATTCCTCAATAACAAACATTTTAAAATATCAAGTCTATATTAACATTGCTCGGACGATTTGTCGTTCAGGTGCGATACCTGAAGACAAATATCTTCTGACATACTGTGCCGTGTAGTTGGGTAGAAGTTTAGCGACGTTTCAGAGATGAAATCATTATGGAGGCAGTCAATAAAAATCTAAGCAGACTACACGGCGCAACATCCCATGAGAAAGTCGTCTTCACACAAACAACAGTAAGAATCTGAAATCTCATAATTATCCTTTTAAAATATATTTAAAGAGCAAAACACAACTATCAGCTTCTGTATCTCTAAAACGACTTTAATCCTGCAACTGTAAAGGCTTAAAGAACCACTGCTTCATTTCAGTACCGCAGCAAAAGGAACATAACCTTTATCAATACTGCAATCTGAGACAGCGCATTACAGCGTACCGGAATGCGAGAAGCAAGTGTTAGATACGTGAAGATATTCCTGGGTATGCCTTTAAGAATGAAGAAATCCGTCTCCTTAACGCCTCGAGTGTCTTTTACTTTAAAAAGCAGATTCCATCCTTTCTCCGTGAATGATTCAGATTCTGAAAATGCAAAAGCTGAGTCCCGTTAAACCTTCATTCCACTTCAACGACATATTTAAAATCGTTTAGGAGCACACGAGGAGAAGACCCAACTTTTACAAAGGATTGGAATGTACAAACAGATCTTTAAATTATGTAGCTACAGAACGGTGAACAAACAGTTCACCCTCTTAAGCCGAATGAGAGAGAGGGAGAGAGAGAAGGAGAAGTACAGGGCACTCAGAGACACTCCATTTAGCGGGAAGAAACGTCAATTTACGTCTATAAAGGTTCCCAGGCAATGCCCGCTTGTCTTAGTGGTAAAAATAGACTCAAGACAAGGTCAGGCGTTCGGAAATGGTGAAGGTAAAAAGATAATTTGTGGAAGGGTCTTTCTTGTTGAAATACATTTTGAATTTTGTTATTACCCTTAGCAGGGCAGCATTTGGTGAGAATCTTATGTACCAAGGAGAGCAACTACTTTAGGGCGAAATTTTAATACTAAAATTGGGAGGGCTGCGTGAGAGTTAAGATATTTATAAATTATGTTGTTACCTCAAATAAAACAAAACGCATCGCCATTACTAAGAACAGTAGGAAGATGTTATTTTAGGGAAAATGCTCCCCGTTTACTCTGAGAAACATACGAAACCCAGAAATATGCTCTGTGCGCAAAGCTCAGAGTTTCTGATTGCGTAGACCTACCACTGGGTTTTAGAGGGTTAAGAATTATTAACAGCAGGCTACAACAAAGTCCTCAGGAGGTAAGCCTACTCTCTTCTA